GGCGTCGGTCGTTTTGGGACGAGAAATCGTGGTGTGGGGGGGTCCAAGAATTGAGGCTCCATGGGGTGTGGGTGTCGGGGCGCGGTGGAGGCGCGATGGGGGCGCGGTGGGGGGCATCGGTCGTTGTTCGAGGAGAAATCGTGGTGTGGGGGAGTCCAGGAACTGAGGCTCCAGGGGGTGTGGGTGTCCGGGCGCGGTGGGGGGCGCGGTGGGGGGGCGGTGGGTGTCCGGGCGCGGTGGGGGAGCGGTGGGGGCGCGACGGGGGCGCGGCGGGGGGCATCGGTCGTTGTTGGACGAGAAGCTCCACGGGGGGAACGCCGAACATGGTGGAGGCATGGTGGGGGCACGGTGGGGGGTATCGGTCGGTTTTGGGCGAGCACTGGCGGGGTGGGGGGTGCGAAGAACAGAAGCTCCACGGGGGGGGGCGTCCGGGGCTGGGTGTGGGCATGGCGGGGCAAGTGCGGGGCATGGTGGAGGCTGGTGGGGGGCAATCGGTTGGTTTTGGGCGAGAATTGGCGGTGGAGGGCAACCAAGACAGAAACTCCACGGGGGGGGATGCCGTTGCAATGGCGGGGGCACGTGGGGCATGTCGGGAGCAATTGTGGGGGCATGGCGTCGGGGCACTGGCGGGGGGTAAACATCGGTCCGGTTTGGGGGCGAGAAATGGCGGGGTGGGGGGTCCCAAGAACAGAGGCTCCACGGGGGAGGGGGGCCTCGGCATGGCGGAGGCATGGTGGGAGGTGTCAGTGGGTTTTGATGAGGGCGGGCGGGGTGGAGGGTCCCAAGAACAGAGGCTCCACGGAGGGGTGGTGGTGGAGGCATGGCGGGGGCATGGCGGGGGGGCATGGCGGGAGGTATCGGACGGTTTTGGGCGAGAGCTGGTTAGGGGGGGGGCCCAAGAACAGAGGCTCCACGGGGGGGGGATGCCGGGGCATGGTGGAGGCATGGTGGGCGGCGTCGGTCGGTTTTGGGCGAGAAATGGCGGGCTGGGGGGCTCTAAGAACAGAAGCTCCACCGGGGGGGGTGCCGGGGCATGGCGGGGGCATGGCGGGTGCATGGTGGGCGCATGGTGGGGGCATGGTGGGGGGTATCGGTCGGTTTTGGGCGAGAAATGGTGGAGTGGGAGGTCCCAAGAATATAGGCTCCACGGGTGGGCGGGGCCTGGGCATGGTGGGGGGTGTCGCTTGATTTTGGGCGAGACATGATGGGGTTGGGGGTCCCAAGAACAAAAGCTCCACGGGGGGGGGGGATGCCGGGGCATGGCGGGGGCATGGAGGGTGCATGGTGGAGGCATGGTGGGGGGCATCGGTCGGTTTTGGGCGAGAACT